TTGTTATGAAAGGCTATGAATGGAAACTCAGAGCTTTGAAACCGGGTTTGAAGGCGGGTAATTAATATCCAGAATCAGAAATAAGTGCTTTTTTAACTTTGTATTCATGGTTAATAATATCATCACGGACTCGCCCTTACTAGGAATGTGATTGTATAACCTGCAGACCATCTTCCTTCGACTGTCTCTAAAGATTGGTAACTTGTATCAGCCAGATAGATGTCAGTTTGGAATATTTTCAACTGATCCTTTCTCATTCTTCAACATGTGCAATAGGAACTGATGCAGGACAATGATAGAGAGGAGTGACGTTATCATCCTTTTCTAGATTGACTGAAAACTTGGCATCCTTTGCGCGACACGTGAGAAGATTACTGCTGTGCCCAAGTTAATGGTAATTTCTGTTGCAGGGTGCTGCTTCATTTTATTGCAGGCCGGTTTTGGTATGATTTTCTGTGTATTTTTGTATCAATTTGCACACCCTCTTTTGCAAATATATCTAGTTAGGTATTCTACATTGCAATTTGGTCAAGTGTTGATTCCCAGTTCTCACCCCTCACCTTTGGCATTGATACTGTTTTGCTGCGTATTCATTCAATTCTTTTGGGCTATCTGTTTTGTCCTTTAGATTTTGCAGTTCTTAGCCGTGTGGTTTGCTGTTTTGTCCTTATGTTCCGACCCCCCTGTCCTCCATATCAGAAATTGTAGGTTGCTTCTAATGGTTCTTCTTGCTATGTACGTGTAGAGGTTGCGAATCGGAGTGATGCCAAATCTATACAGCTTCATTTTTTTTTTTTTTTTGTGAAAATTCATACTTAAAGAAAGCAGAGATCCGTTTACGAAATGATAGAAATTCAAAATAATATCTCAATATATGAATAAAATTCATGAATAATTTTTTTTCTTTGTAATAATTAAACTGGATGCCGTATTTATAGTCATTAAAATACACCATTCTCTCCCACTTTGTAAGAGTTTTGAAATGTTGAAGTCTGAAAAACTATCAAATTAAAATTTCTAACTTTGTAATTAAATTATCTTCGTCCGGGATCAAAATATCTCAATCTCTGGCTGGGAAATGTTGACTCTGACCTTGGAAGGAATGATGATTTTTGTTGGCTTGAAATTAGAATGACAATGGGAATCAAAATTGGATGGGATCCTGAGTTCACATCCCCAAAAAATGGTTTATTTCTTCCAAACACATCGTTATTGTTTATTAAAACGAACAAACTTTGCTAGTGAAGGTCAATTAAATTGTATTTTAACTATGAAATATATAAAAAAAATGACACAACAGATAGTTGCTTCTAAAGAAATTTAAAATGGTATCGCAATTTCACTTTAAATTGTTCGAAAACTCAATTTTATCATTTTTGCAAAGAATATCGACCTTTTTAAACTATCTTCAAAACAAATTGGAATTTTGTGTAAAACTCGATCGTTTTATTTGAAGGCATAATCGCATCTCTATATCTATGCTCATCTTCGTTTAAAAAAAAACAGAAATTTAATTTAAATTAATAAAAATTGAATACATATGGAATTATATTGACAAGGCAATTTCCCTTTCATCATCATGGCAACAAACGACTGATCAGGCAGGCAACATCACTTGCCATTTTCAGTTATATCCAAGGCAAGCCACTGGGATCAATAAGCCTGACCATTGGCCATTAAAGCTGAATTTGCCAAACACTGACCGGCTAAGATCAAGCCATGAATGGATGCAGAAGCTCCTCGCCTGTTCAAGCACAGAACCAAAAAAACAGAAAAAGAAAATGCACACTCCCTACGCAGGCATTATCCTGTTCAGGTTCAAAGGGACTTTCTCAGCCTGATCTGCTTTCACCGTAGCCATTAATTAAAAGCTATTGCTTGGCAGATACAGGCACCCCTGGTGCTTCTTATGTCAATATAAACCCACAAAATGATAAAAGTTGAAACAACAACAGTTTTATTATTTGGCTATAGGAAATAACTCAAAACAAAGAAAGATAGTCTTAAAGCTTCACTGACAGACTCAAACTATGAAACTCACCAACAGCCTGATGCTAGTGTTGCATACGACCATTATTGACAAGCCTAAGTAGCATCATGGCTCAAAGGTGATTCCAAACCCACTTCCATTGTTCATATGACCTGTGGATAATCCCAACAAGAAATTTGTGTTACGAATGATGGAAGAGCACAAATATTCGTACAATGATCTGGGATAAAGATACCGTCCATATTGTCAGCAACAAAAAAATAATTGGAAAAAAAAAAACCAGTCCGATACACTCAGAATATCAGATTATTCTGGTGCAAGAAGTAGTCCTAAAAAATGTGGTGATATGTATTTTCACGGAATCATAATGCCACCGTCCAAGAAACTAACATCAAGAAAGGTTCCAAACACTCTTAGCTTATGCGCACCGGAACTATTGGCTGTGGAATCTCATGAGAAACCAAGAGGAATAATAGGAATAAAGCAAAAATATCAGTGTTACTTCCTAGTTCCATTAACAGTGAGTAGGGAAATCCCATAGAATGGAGGTTGGTATAAATTGATAAGATCTAGAGTAAGAAGACTGCAGATACACCTTGTAGGCCATGGAAGAAAGAAAAAAGCTCCAGAATACTGACCTTCACCTCTGAGAGGATTGAACATAACTCTCTGGCAAGTAGATTTCTCCACCACTTTCACCATGTTGTTCCCCACTAACAGTTTTCTTAGCAGCAAGGAATGCAGCACTCATAGCATCCATCCCATGTTGCACAGCTTCCTCAGCAGTCCCATAACCGTGCTCCTCAGCATACTTCCTGACATCCTCTGTTATCTTCATAGAGCAGAATTTTGGCCCACACATAGAGCAAAAATGTGCCACTTTGGCACCATCTGATGGAAGAGTCTCATCATGGAAGGACATGGCAGTCATGGGGTCAAGTGACAGAGCAAACTGGTCCATCCATCTGAACTCAAATCTTGCCTTGCTTAATGTATCATCCCAGGCTTGAGCATGTGGATGACCTTTGGCTAAATCAGCCGCATGAGCAGCAATTTTATATGCTATAACTCCAACCTTCACATCATCCCTATTTGGCAGCCCAAGGTGCTCCTTTGGTGTCACATAACAGAGCAGTGCTGTACCTAGAGCCCCAATATTGGCTGCACCAATGGCAGAGGTGATATGATCATATCCAGGAGCAATATCAGTTGTCAAAGGACCGAGAGTGTAGAAAGGTGCTTCATTACACCATTCAAGCTGTTTTTGCATGTTCTCAGGAATCTTGTGCATTGGAATATGTCCTGGACCTTCATTCATCACCTTCAAAATTAAAATAATACTGATTAATATACTGAACCAAATCGAATGTGCATGCCATATAGTAGTGTTAAACGATGCTGTATTGCACTGGTGAAATAAAGTTTCTAATGGTTATAAACTGAATGCAAGAGGCTATCCAGTGCATGTTATGCAGATACCTGCACGTCCTTCTCCCATGCCCTGCGGGTTAGCTCCCCTTGGGTTAAAAGTTCAGCAAAATGAGCAGTGTCATTAACATCATATATAGAACAGGTCTCAACCCATCCCCTATTGACAGTGCCACATCATATTGGTTGCAGATATCAAGTATATCATCCCAGTGCTCATACGCAAAGTTCTCTTTATGGTAAGCTAAGCACCACTTTGCATGAATGGATCCTCCACGTGAAACAATTCCTGTCATGCGTTTTGCTGTTAAGGGGATGTACCGCAGCAGAACACCAGCATGAATTGTGAAGTAATCTACACCCTGCTCAGCTTGCTCAATAAGGGTGTCCCTGAAAACTTCCCAGCTTAAATCTTCAGCAATTCCATTCACTTTTTCAAGTGCTTGATAGATTGGTACAGTGCCCACTGGTACAGCTGAGTTACGTAGGATCCACTCGCGTGTCTCATGAATGTGGCGGCCAGTTGAGAGATCCATAACAGTGTCTGCACCCCACATGGTTGCCCATTGAACCTTGTATACTTCCTCCTCAATAGAGCTTGCAACGGCAGAATTTCCAATATTTGCATTAACTTTGACCAGAAAATTTCTTCCAACAATCATAGGTTCCAGCTCTAAGTGCTTCTTGTTGGAAGGGATAATTGCCCTCCCACGAGCAACCTCTGACCTCACAAACTCTGGGTCAAGCTTTTCACGAGTTGCACAGTACAACATTTCCTCAGTTATAATTCCCTGCTTAGCATAGTACATCTGAGTAAACCTTGGTAAACCCAGCTTCTCTCGTCTGTCAACCCAATCCTCGCGCAATTTAGGAAGTCCTATTCACAAAATCATTCACAAACAACAAAAGGTGATGGCTCATGCAGGCAGATCAAAGCTCCATACAGTACAGCTAGGATCAGAAAGCAATAAAGAGAAATATTAATACATAATGAGGCAGCTAGTACAGTCTAAATTGATGCACGTGTATTCTAAAAAAGATCAAAAATTTTCAACTATGATGCTGGAAGCTAGTTGCAGATTCCATTGTTTGTTTTGAAGCAGCTGACTGAAAATTAAACTTACCAAACAACCATATAGGAAGTTCCTACCTTGGCTCAAAAGCCAAGCTCTTAATAGAAGAAATAGATCGGACACCTACCTATGGTATTTGTCTTAAATGCATGCCTCTCCTGCTTAAATTACTATCAGCTCCCCACCCGAAAAACAAATATATAAATAAACAAGTACCATCCCTGGACTTACAATGCATAAGAAGAAAAGTAGGCTTCATGCGAAGGCTAGCAGCAGAACAATTAATATTTGTTAAAAATAAATATGATCAGTATATCATGGAACATATTAAACTATAAAGGCTTGAAAAGATGAGACTAATGATCCAAAGAGGAGAAAAATAAATATAACTCCCTACCTATGCGTGGGCTAATATTTTGAGGGCCACTGGTGTCATATGTGTCAAAATCTGGTTCGCCCCCAGACAAGTGGACTCGTCGAAAGGGAACTTGGAGTACATTACCAGATTGCTCATGAACAACTTCCCTGAAATGTAGATCATGCGTCAAGAATTGCATACTCATATATACAAGTGGGCATGGACACAAGTGCATTAAATCCAGCCAACAAATAAACGATGTATATAGAATACATGTATATAGAATTTGTACCCAAATAAACGATGAGAAAATTAAGGAAAGATGAATAAGTGATGCACCTGTACTCTTTTGAGCTCCTTGGAAAACACTGTTCAAAAGATGGAAGTGGGAGAAAATCAGGAGAAGCAGGATCGACAGTATTCTTCCTTTGTCTGGTTCTCTCTGAATTGGTTGTTGGGGGATCGAAGGTTAATGTGGCTTTAGGACCAGAAGCCATGTGGGTAGGACATGTTTCCTTCCTATTCACAGTTGCAACACGCCCGACAACATCAAACCCAGTCAAGAAGGCAGAGTTGGGAAACTTTGCAGGAGCGGAATGGCCATTCTTGCACACAACCGACATCAAGCTTGTATGCACCGATGCCATCTCTCCAAATCAAGCTAATATGTAGTAGGATATAAAAAGATCGGGGTCAGAGACATGAGGCAACTGAATAAAAAGCCTCAAACAGTTCAGCAACAGAACACTAATTTTAAAAATAAATGAATAGCTCAGTTGCAATTTACCAAAGTAGAGATGTATGGACTTGCAAATCACGGAAAAGCATAACATTTATTAAAATGAGAAATCATTTAAAATTCCGGAGTTATCAACTGAAACAAATCTCGGTTTCTCCCCCACCTCCGTAAAATCCTGACTAAACTTAGCACACATGCATCAAGGTATACATATCGCACATTTCAAGCAAAGATAAGCGGTAGAGAACAGATAGCTTCAAAAAGCGAACCTTTTATGCTCTGTCTGGCAGCTAATTTCGTTCAAATTTCGACCCAAATTTTCTCGGCAACCAAACACGCAACAAAATTGCAGATACAGAACACGAGAAATGAGAGAATGAGGAACATTAAAACGTGCAATTTTCATTCGCTTTTTTCCCGGCAACCAAACAACCACCAGAACTTAAACAGATAACGAAGGAAGAAAACAACACGCAACAAGTAAAACTAAATCACAACGAAACCTACACAAAATTTAGACTGAAACGAGCTGTGCAAACAGATAATGCTTAGGGTTTCACGGTCAAGGAGAAGAACCTGGAAGGACGAAAGTATTCACGTTCTCTTCTCTCTCTCTCTCTCTCTCTCTCTCTCTCTCTCTCACGAGTACTCTGGCGATAACTGAGTACATGGAGGAAGCTCATTGGATTTATAACGACATCTCACAGGAAAAAAGCATCGGAAAGTGAATGCTGACGTGGATCTTTTACGCTACTATATTGCCCTTTACAGTTATCTTGATCTGATACGTGCATGTGATGAGGCTCGTGCCGCTCACGTGATTCTCTTGGCGTCCGGTTTGTCGCTTTATTCGCTGCGAAAATCAAGACCCTTCACGTACTGCATCTGGTCAACTAAATCTACGGCTAAGATCGTGTCTAGGCCAGCGTCAATTCTTTCCCCCCATTTTTCTGTAGGGTTTAACTTTAATTAATTTTATTTAACTCTAATTGAAAATTAAATTTATTGTTTAATTTTTAGTTGTCGATTATTACAGTTAGTATTTTAGTAATAAAATTTTAAATGTCGAAAATTAATACATTCCGAAAAGAAAATAATGTTTCGGATATTTTAAAAAATAATGATTTCATAATAATTAAAATAACAGTTACATTATATATAAAAAATAAAATAAAATAAATTTGAACAAATATGTGGTTAGCACCCTTGTATCATCAATACGTTTCGGCCACTGTATCTCTATCCAGAGTATATTTTTCGAACCATTAATAATTATACTGGTGAGATGTTATAATAATTTAACAGAAAAATATACCCCAAAGAAATTAGTATTTTTACGAGCACATAATTACCGGAGTTGATTAGTGCTATAAATATAATTAATTTATTTTAATACATAGATATATATGTGTGTGTGTGTGTGTATATATATCGTGACATGGTAAAAGCAGGATTGTTTGGTACTTGGAAAGTGGTAGTAGAAGACAAAAGGGGTCGTCGTTATCTGAATGCTACGTTGATATTTTTGAATGCATCCCAGAAATATCAGACCAAAATCATCCCTGCCCTTCATTTCTTTCTGGATAAAATACCGGCACCAGAAATACTTATGATCATCCAAAGGTTAATATTTCTCCAGTAATTTTTTAATATTTTACTGTAAGTAAGTTAACATACAATGGTATATGTTATTATATCAACAAAGTGCTATGAACTTAGACAAAATCTTTAACTAAATATGAACAATATAATAATTTTGACGTTTAATATTTCTGAAACACAACTTTTGCTGCAGTAAGACTGAACAAGATTTTTAGTGAGCATCTTAAACTCGGTTCAACTTAACATGCACTTTATGTCAACCTCCTACTAAATCCGAAACATATTCAAACCCGATATTTAACTTGTATCTGCTTGAACTCAAAATCAGATACCGAACATTTACACGAGGGAAAGGAAAATTTCCAAACAATTTTGATAGTACCAAGAAATTTAAACAAATTGCCTCACAGAATAAGCCCAAGACTGCCAGTGATTGCTAGGAAAACAGATAAAGGGACAAACTTACGGATGCTATTGACTCCAAATTCCAAGAAAAAGAATTTTCTGTATATGCGTGTAATTTCCAAAGTTAAATATGCAGATTAGTTCTCTGCAGTAAGTTAAGCCTTTAGGAACAAACAAAACAGGAAAATCATCAGGGATATTATTACTATACAGCCTAATACCCATTACAATTCCCAGTAGCCTAAAACTATCATCAACTGAAAATAATAGCCAGTGCACAGAGAATTAATCCACATGTATCCACATTTTGATTATGGGCGTGAGATGCTTGCAAAAGCTCTGAATGCAACAAATCTTCCAACTTTCCTGTTTTCCTCTAGGTTTTTGCTCGAAAATAGTGCAATGAGAACATACAAGCTGGTTGGTAGTGGTATCAACAAAGCCGAAGCTTGTTAAATATACAGATGCATAGAGTAGGGCGAGTTCATGCAAATATGGGGAAGGTCCTTTTGCATGTCTTAATCACTTGAATGAGTTGCTAACCTCTCTTTCACGTTTCTGTCATTGAGGACAAGCTGTAGTTGTCAACTAGAGCCTGCTCGTAGTGGTAGAAGAGACTCCTGCTTGCCTCTAATAAACATTACGAGCTCCTGTGGTGCCACTACCAATTTCAACCACTTTTGTAGTTCTTCACCTTCTACCTTCTCATTTGCTGGATAAAGACAGTTGTTATAACACCAGGAAAAATTGAGTACAAGCAATTAATTAACCAGTGGGTATAAAAGCAGTATCAAGAATAGAATATAAAAGACACACTATTGGCACTCCCCACTCATACAAAAGGGAAGTGCTCAAAACAATTAGGGGAATCCTCTCGTATAAATGGGAAGTTCTGAAAACAATTAGGGGAGTCCCCTCATAAGAAAGAACAATTAGGGGACTCCGTCAATATAACAATATGAATAACATCATGCTCCTTTTTAGTTTACAAAAGAACATAATCCTCCTCATTCAAGGATATTGCGGAAAAGTAACATGCCAGACTCACAGCAGCACAAATTTATTCTTAGAAACAATACATGAAAAAGAGAGATGCAACTTCGCTTTAACACTCCAAGCATATATGACATATATGGCAATCAAGTTTCTGGTGGCTAAATTTCTAATGAAATGTAGGTGGCAACGAATACCTTCTAGTTGAGCACCAAGTGCTTCCAAAACAGTTGGGTTAGCACGCACAACTGAAAGTGCCACATCAAGAGCGGATTGCAATAATCCTTTGACTTCTCCCTGAACAAGATCCACCAGATGACCCTGTTGCATTCAGTTACTGAGAATCAATTTTCACTATGATGGAGATAAGAAGGAAAATGGCAAAGGAACTAAAAGAATATAGTACTTGATCCCTTCCCCATGGAACACCTCCAGACTCGTCAATCCCTCCACCAGAAAGTGTAGCCAAAGATACAGGGCCTATTGTCTGATTAAGCCCATATTCGGCAACTGCCTTGTATGCCATGTCAGTTGCCCGCCGTATGTCATCAAGCGCACCAGTTGAAACACGGCCTGAATAAATAACTTCTTCGGCTGCACGACCTCCAAGAAGAGTAACCAAACGTCCACGTAACTCATCAACAAAGAGCAAATATCTATCCTCATTTGTTGGAGGAATGTATGTAAAACCCAATGCTCCTCCTGACCTTGGCAAAATGCTCAACTTCTAAAATCATGTAAAATAATAGATGTTACCATATTATCCAATGATGCATACATGAATACTCGACCGAAAAGGAAAAATAAATATAGTAATAAAAATAATCATCAAGCAGATTGAGATATATCATATGGTGGGATCGACCTACACGTGCATAAATATATTCTTTGTGGCGCCAGAATACCTAGTGTTGCCAGTAAATCAAAACATATACCAAGGCAACAAAGGAAAAAATAAACTCTGAGCATCCAGAAATAAATGGCCAGAATTTACCTCAACACGTGGCTGGCCAGGAAGAAGATTTGCCACTGCAGTGCCAACTACTGCATGACCAGCTTCATGCCTTGCAACCACAGCCTTCTCGCTGCCCTGCAACTTGGCAGTTTTCTTCTCTATCCCCTATAAGATACGAGAAGTACCTCTCAAGTTCTCTTCCATTAATCTAAATTTGAATATTTACTCAATTTTTTAAATGAAAAGAGGCATACAACATAGCATTAAACAAGAAAAAGTTCAATCATCTGTTCTGTCAGTATAGAGTGAAAATACAGACTCCCAGCGATGCTCACATCATAAGAAACATTCTCTAGTTGCAATGAACAAGAGAAACTTTTAAATTACAATTTTATAGCAAAACAAGTTTACCTAGTGTTCCACAGCACATGCACAATCAACAAACAGAATGAACATAGCACATGCAAGAGGATAAGGACCCTGGGGGCAAGTAGGGAGCGTTGAGGAGGGAGGAAGAGATGCACTTACAGCTATAGCTCGTTCTACAGCCTCAATGAAATCAACTTTCTCAACGACAAGCTTGTTCTTCCTTCCAGCCAGCAAAGCAGCTTCATTTACCAAATTTGCAAGGTCTGCCCTGCACCATGCCCAAAAAAAAAGGACGCTCAAAATCTGTCAGCCACATGCAGGGAGTGAGAAACAGGGAATAGCTTCTGATTCCATGAAAAGGATGGAAGGCGAATACCCGGTAAAACCAGTAGTCATAGAGGCAATATCACCAAGGTCAACATTCTCTTCTAAAGGAAGTTCCTTCTTGGTAATATGTACCTTCAAAATGGCTTCTCTTCCAGTTCTGTCAGGTGTCTCTACCTGAAAAGGCATATAGAAAATACTAAGAGGATGTTCCAGAAGAAGCTGCTTAGCATTCAGAAAAATGCACTAGAGCATTATACAGACCATAACCACTCGATCAAATCGTCCAGGTCGACGAAGTGCAGGGTCTAAGACATCCGAGCGATTTGTAGCACCAAGAACAATGACAGCGGAATTGCTGTCAAATCCATCCATCTCCTGCAACCAAACTTCAAACAGATTAGCTTCGCCCCATAGGGAAAGAATGCACTAAAGGAAGATCAAAGTGCATATGATCATGCAAACACAACTATGTAGGAGGGCTTACAGTGAGCAATTGATTCAAAGTTTGTTCTCTCTCATCATTGCTGACAATGCGAAACCTACCATCACGACTTTTTGCCACTGCGTCTATCTGGAAAAAAGGAGCAATAAGATTGTGACATTTGTCAAGAAGTGAAACCAGATTTCAAATGACAGTAACAAATCTGAGTATCCTAACCTCATCAATGAAAATGATTGATGGTGCTTCCTTCTTTGCCCGTGCAAAGAGATCTCTAACACGGGAGGCACCCATGCCAACATACAACTCTACAAACTCACTTGCAGAACAACTTATGAAGGGAACTTCAGCCTCTCCAGCCACTGCCTTTGCTAGAAGAGTTTTACCTGTCCCAGGAAGGCCCACCTGCAAGATCAAAAATTTGTTGCAATCTTCGAAATCTGTCATAATAGTTTCCAAGGACTAAAATGCCATCCTATGGAGTCTACCCTCTGAAATTATCATAAGAGCCATCCAAATATACTGGCCCAACAAAACTGATTAAAGTATTTGAAACTTTAGAAACACGCTGCAAAAGAACTTCTAATCTATTGCAAATCAAAATTACTCAGATGAATAACTACAAAAGTTTGTTAAGGTAAGCACCAAATACTTTCTAGTGCAAGAGATTTCCCATCCAGCAATTGATGTTTCCAAATGATAAATAATATCATAGGTTCCAAAAGATCAATCTTGGTGATCACTAGAAACTTAGTTTCATCCCTGATTCTCTTTTGTTTCAACTCACCAGGAGAACACCTCGTGGAGGACGAGCACCAAGACGAATGTACCGGTCTGGATTCCTAAGAAATTCCTGCAGCCATAAACATCAGCATATAAAACAATGTCCTCAATGGGGTAAAAAGCATTAACTACAAGAATATGATGGGTAACAAGCACAAAAATTGGAGCAGCAAAATATTTAGCTTACCACAATTTCTTCTAGCTCTTCCTTGGCCTCATCGACACCGGCAACATCAGCAAAAGTAATTGTATCCCCATGTTCAGATGCTTTTCCTCCAGTGGGACTACCAGACTTGCGGTGTCTAAGCTGGCCAGCAGAATGCTGCATATATTTTTAATGCCCTGAGAATCTAAAAGATAACATAATTTTCAAAGCATAGACAGCAGTAGGATAAAGATTCTTACCTGAGAAAAGCTTACAGGGAATCGGTGAAGGAGACCTGCAAGAGCAGCAATATAGAAAAGAGCAATCTGCAAATAACAAAGCAAAGACCATGATACAAAAACCTTATATCTTAAGTGAACAATTTTTCTAAATCAAGAAAGAAAAGGTTCAAGTTCCCAACTTTTTGTCAATTTCAATTATTATTCAGGTTTGTAAGAAAGACCCTTTCTTCATTTACACAAGTAACATAATTTATCCATCCATGAGAAACGGTTCCGCAGAATGCAGCTCCTAGCTGAGGAAAAACAAAAAAAAAACGAAAAAAAAATGAATTGCACGCGAAAGGGATACTGATCTAGCCCTTAGCTTGTCTACTAGTTGCAGGTAGAAAACTACTAGATACCCATTTCCACATATGTCAATGTACACCAGAGGAATGGATGACATAACCGGACCAAGTCCAACCCATTATTGCAACGTAACTTTGATGAGTATTTGATACAGCAATGGTTATATCTTCTCGTTAAGACAGTTTACTATAATGGCGAAAATCGACAACGTTGGAATTTGGGCACTTAGCTTCATCAATCACATAATTCTTATGACTAACTTAAGCCCATATTAGCTACGCATCTCGTTGCTTAAGTACCCAAATAACTTGAGCACCGATAACTTACCAGCGCGGAGTTAAAAAACCCACCGGACCGCTTATCCGGCGACCCAAACTCCACCTCATTCTCGAGCATCTTCTCGTATGGAGTCTTGATATCGGTAGGCCTCGTCGTCGTGTACACAACCCTCTTCGTGGGTGCTACGCTCCTCAACAACGATTCCGATTCCTGAAACCTGCTAGCGCCGCTAACTTCACTCTCTTGTCCGCTTCCTTCATTTTTCAACTTGAACATGATATGAACCCCATCAACCTCTACTTTATGGACCTGGTTGCTATTTATCTTGCTTAAAAACTCACTGTATGGTACACTGACAAAGGTGGTTTGCGTCCTTGGCTCCGACCCGGGCAATGGAATACCGGGCCGGAGCAACCGCATGACGAACATGACGATACCTAATTGCAGAAGCAAAACCCCCATCTCCTGAGCTTGAATAATCGGCTGCCACTGCCATTTATTTCCCTTTGACCACCATAACCCCCCTTTCCCTCGCTTCTCTCTCCTCTGCTTCGAACCCGAACTCGATGGATTCTGATTCCCTTCCGTCCCGCTCTTCTCACTCGACCCTGCCTTGGAATCACCATCTTGGGAACAAGCAACGATCCTGCTCTCTCTTACTCTGTGCTTCTTCAAAAAACTTGCCCAGAGATCGAACCTCTCGTGGTTCCTCGAGATCTTAATCAAATTTTTGCACGGTCTCGTTACAGGGAAGGAGGATGAGTTGCAGCAAAACCGGTTCACGTTATAGTGAAAAACCCTAGAATGATTGTGGAAGAAGCTCAACCCATGTAAGTATAATAGTTTAGAATTCGAACTCGCGTGGAACTTACTATAGATTGTTGGTCGCAGAAACTCAACCGATGACATATGTGAAAAACCCTAGAAATCCAAAAGATCGGAAACGGAAATCGGAATTATCCACGTTATAAATACATAGCCGTGTAAATATTGTACGAATTAGGATGTGGGTTCTGTACGTGCAGAATTTTTGGAGAATACCTGACTGGCGGACACTGGGGGAATTGGATGGAGATAGATTGTGAAGGAACTCAACATGCAATACACACCGTTGGATTAGAAGAGAGATGGGATCCTTACCGTCGACTTTCCGTTATGTGGATTATCTTTCAGGCTGTTTTCATAAATTGGAGGAAAATCAGCGGGAGAAGTATGATTCTGGGCATCGCGGTTACTGGAGGGATCGTGAAGCTGCCGTTTGATTGCGACACGTGTGGGGAAATAAATGGAAGATTGCATTTGGGGAACTTGTGACCACATGCTTGATTTTCATTGGTGACCACATGCTTGGAAAAATTGAGGCCCTAGATTTAGATTTTTAAGGCCTTTGGGCTCAAGATGGTTTATAGGTCGGCCTATAAATAAAATTCTAAAGGAATTCAAAGTAAACAAATTTTGAAATTTTAATTAAAATATATTAGGAGTTAAAAAATTATTGTTAAATAAAGAATATTAAAGTAACTTTTTTCCAAACAATACAAATTCATTGTTATAATTAACTATAAAAGTTACTTAAAAGCATGAAGATGTAAGTTACTTGTTAGATAAGGTATACTCATAATGATTATAATGTTAATTTTATACTATTCTTTTTAATTGAAGAAAATGTTGGATCGGATTTTAAATTCGTTATGATTATTTCAATTAAAGAAATATAACCGGCACGAAATATTTACTACAGTTTAATTTAATTTGATTAACAGTTCTACCGTTTTACTAACGAGTTACAGTTAAATTTTTTACCATACTAAATCAAGTATTATTACATCATGTTAAATAAAATATTATCATATTTATTATCGTTAACTCATAATACGCTCATAAAGCGATAATTTTTACGTGTTTAACAAGTTTTGAATTCACGATCTTTAAATAAAATTTAAAAATTTTAACTACTAAATTACTGTATTGTAAGAACTCTAGAATTTAATTTTTAATATTAATTAACTACAAAATCACAATTAACGAATTTTAATAATATCTCAAAGAATAGTTTATTTAGTGTTTGTGTTAAGTAAGAATTTTATTTTGAATTTTATTTAAGCGTTGTATAATGTCCTCATTAAATCAAGGAGTTCTTGGTGGTAAATAAACATTGAGTTTTACTAATTTTAAAAATTATATTTGTAAATTTCAATGGTTTATTTTGATTAAAATGAATAAAAATTTAGTATCATTTTTCAAAAATTAAATCAAAGATATACAATGTCCCAAAAAAAAAAAGAAAAGAAAAGAAAATTTGAGTTATGTGATTGTATATGTTTTTATTTACAAATGAAAACCCAAAAAAGAAAAAGAAAAGCTTGTAATAAATGTTGGGTATAAGTTTATTTAGGTATTATATGGTATATCTAATGTTATCTTATTAAAATTAAAATGAAAAAAAAAAAAACAAAGATAGATTTTAGGGATCATTAAGCAAATACAAGAAAAAGCGAGGACTACTCTGCTAATGATTCAAAAGTAGAGGCCCATGTCAGTAAAACAAAACAAAAAAGAATTCCCTTCAAGTTTTGGGCTATCGATTTCGTTTTCCTAAGATATACCTGTTTCCTATTTTGTCCGTTTGCATTCCATGAATCAGGGAAGAGAAAAATAGAAAAGGCAAGCCCTAAATTAGAGGATCTTCAAGATGCTGTCAACCAGACAAAGATTTTCTAAAATTGAAAAATCCCCAATATGCCAAAGCTACTGCGAACAAAGCAAAAGATTTGTCTGTTTCTTTGATAAGACTCACCTCCTTCCTATTCATTTTTCTTACATTCTGGTATCAGTCGTCGGAGATCTTTACATTGAATATTCCATGTTTAGTTTCATCCAAAAACCTAATCCAGTTTCATTTCTGATGTTTGAAATTGCAGGTTTGTTTGTTCTATATATTTGTTTCATAGTTTCACTTTATGATCTCTAGCAGCCGAGTTTAGAGGGTGGCTTCCGAGTTCTATGTCTTTATCAAGTTAGTTTTTATTAATTGAATTTCAAGATTACAGAAAGAAGTAAACATGGGTATTGAGGGTAAGAATGTTCAGCTTTTCTTATGGAGGGTTTTTAGAGTTTCTGTGACCACTACTTATAAATTTGTACGGAAACATCCAGTTTTTTCAGGCGTTTTGTTTTTATGTTTCCTTCTGTATTCCTTCCTTCCTTCCGTGTTCTACTTCTTGTTATATTCCTCTCCGGTCCTGTTCTGTACTGTTATTTATGCCCAAAATTGTTTGAATTCGAGAAGGGTCAATTTTCAGAATGTATTCAAGGATGGGAAAGAGGAGAAAGGGGGATCATCTATTGAATCCATGGCTGGTTCAGCAGATCAAGCTGTACAAAGAAGAGACAGGTCTTACCTAAAGCCTCAGAGAAGCGTTCGACGAAATGCCAGAAGAAAAGTCGAAGAGATGAGCACAGATTGGGATCCACAAGAGGGTGAAGAGAGGAAAGATAAGGTAATCTTGACAACTCTATATAATGATTTGCTTGGCAGAAAACCTGTGTTTGAGGAGTCACCCAAAGCAATCGAAATGGAGAATGAGAATTCTTCTTTTGGTCCTGGATTGGTTTCATCTGATGGTGGTGAGGATGGGATGGTTTTGGATTCTGAGAATTCAAAGCCTGATATGGTGTCATTTGATGGTCCTGTAGAGCTGTCTGAAAAACTCACTAGTGGTGGTGGTGAGACAGAGGTAGAAAGCTTGGGAGAAGATGATGATGAAGAAGATGTGCATGAAGATGGGAATAAGGCCGTAGAATGGACAGAAGATGACCAGAAAAACCTTATGGATCTCGGGATTTCTGAGCTGGAGAGAAACAGAAGGCTGGAGAACCTCATTGCGAGACGAAGAGCAAGGAAATTGTTCAAGCTAACAGCTGAGAAAAGCCTGATAGACATGGACACTGTTCCTTCAGGCCAGATTCTTCCCATTTTAGTCACAAGAAGTAATCCTTTTGATGCTCCAGACAACCCTGATGACTGCTTACAGACGCCTGGTTCAGCCCCTCCAATCTTGTTACCAGCAAGAAACCCTTTTGACCTTCCTTATGACCCACAAGAAGAAAAACCAGATCTCATGGGAGATAGTTTCCAACAAGAATTTTCTGTAGCTCCTCAGAAGGATATGTTTTTCTGCAGGCATGAGAGCTTTTGCAGAGGTCTTTACCCATCAGAGCCTATGCAAGACCAGCAGGATCCTAAAGCAGATTCCTATTTGAATTCTGAGAAATGGGCTGCAGAAAGACCAGGATGCTTTGGATATAGAAGGCAGTCAGGTAAGATAGTTCTTTCTTGTCCATTTTATTTAACACTACTTACATCTTACTTTATTTGTCCCACAGTAAATAAATCTGTAGTCACTACTACCTTTGAAAATGAATCAGCATTCATTTCTTCCCTTACAGGTTTCGAAGGCCCAAAACACATTGTTGAACAAATAACTGAAGAGGGTGAACCCATTTCCAATATTGAAAACAATCATGATTTTGTTAATCAAGGAGGCCGAGCTCTCAACGAGATAGTTCCATCCTTGGAAGTCATTCACGAAGAGCCCACAGGAAGTGGAAACAACAACAACAGCGAGGTCAGGGAAGACAACTACCACATCGAATCAAGAACTAATAATGGAAGTGAAGTCCAAATGGAGACTGATTCAATAAGAAATGAGGATAGTGAGTCAAACTCTTCAAGTTCGCCAAGTGATAGGGAGCAGGTCTTTGGTTTTTTTAGCCAAACTGAAACTTCAGAAAATCAAAATCGAAGAGTAAGCAAGTATCCATTTGCATTTGGTGATTCTTTCCAGACCTCTCTCCATGGATCAATTCCTAAATTCATAAGTGGGTATGAAAATTCATATGATACACACAAACTTAATGATGGGCACGGATACTATAAAGGTAAGATGTCTTGTCATACCCCATCATATTCCATTGCGTCTGATTTGCAAGTGGAAGTTTCAGAAGTTGGTTCTCCACCAACAGTTGATGGAAATTTATCTGCTGATGGAGAATCATGTACATATGATGGGGATCATGTTGAGAAAGATATTGCTTCTGGAAGCGAGGAGATATGGGGAGCCTCATATCAGTTACCAAGGATGGAGGAAGGTGAACCAAATCTAATAGAAACAACTGAGGTAAGTGAGGGATATGATGTAAGAGGAGAAATCTCAGATATCAACAAGGAACCTGTCGATCCAATTGAATCATCAACAGCATCAGCAGAAGTAGCTCAACAAGATTTTAACAACACAAGCTCATTGTCATCTCTAAGAGCTGAAATATCTAAAAAGATTCAGGACCAGTGCCATGTTATGAATATGGATAATAAAACACAGGAACATGTCATACAAGTAGTTCAAAATATAGTGGACCCTAGGCCTTCTGTTTCTTTAAATGCTTTCTCACCTGGAAGTTCAGAGAAAGCACAGCATACTACAGATGAGCCAGTCATTCTCCCACCTCCTCATGTTTACTCTGAAGTGCCAGATGTTCAGGTACTTATTTTAAGTATTGAATTGTTCAAATATCTATTATCTCTGGATATGGTAAGTAATTAAATTTCTTTTGCAATGTTACTTGCAGCTTTTGGATATCATGCAGGAGTTTTCCAATGGTGTTGAGAAATCTGCTGAAGAGATGAAGGTCACTTATGACTTTGATGAGCCAGTCATCCACGAGAAGGTGGACTTGAAACCAATTGAAGACAGGGATGATAATGAGTTAACATTAAATGAGGAAGAAGCTTTAAATGAACAGACAAAGCCTACTGAATATGTTAACCTAGGATCTAGTGAGGTAGAGATCAGGGAAGATGACAATTCAAACAATACTGAAGGAGATAACCGAAGTCCAAATCAAGGAAATGAAATTTTCGAAGCAGCTTGCACGAGCAGAGTTGAGGAAATTTATGGTGAAGGGATGGTTTCTGGAATTGGCCACACTTTTGATGATTCTATTTCATTAACTATGCAGGTAGAACAATCAACTGAAGCAGTTTCTACCAGCTCAAGTTCATGTTCATCACCAAGGTCTGTATTAGTAGATCTAATCCCAACAGATCAAACGTCATTGTTGAATTTTGAGGAATGGGACCACATGGACAGCCCACCCTCTTATGCAGAGGATGCTGCAGGAGATAATTCATTGGATGGGCAGCCATCTGGAAGTTTATCTCTAAATGTACCTGAAAGCACACAGCATTTGGTTGAGAGTTCAGTAACTTCTCCATCCAATAATAGCGATTCTGATAAATGGGTTGGTATCAATTTAGTAATATGCTTATGCAATACATCATGAAAGAAAATTAATATTAAGGTCTAGGTTAGCCTGTGAAGTTTAAGTGTTTAATAAGTCTAGGGAATCTATATATTATCTTTAGTAGAAATTCTCTCATTTTCATATGATCTCTTGTTCCTCTTTATCCTACATTTCATTCTGAAAATATCTTTTCCAGTATTGTCTACTAAAATTTCATGTATATGGGAACCCAAATTTCCTTTTATCGTATAGCTTGACTTATGTATGCTTCGGTTATGGATCAGGAACCATCTGGATATCAGAACGAATCTAATGATGAAGCATCTGCCATGGTAAAGGAAGCTAACCATGAGCTATCAAAATCAGAAGATGGAAGTTCTAATCAACACATCCTCAGAACAAAGGACATAGAGGAGGTAATGGCAAGCAAATAATTTGAAAATTATACTTAAACAATTTCTCCTTTAGTTGTTATTGTGCTGTCTTGATTCCATAAATTTTTAATTTGATACTTTTCATCTGCATATGATTCTTTAGATATTTTTTTTAAGCATGTCTATGTAAATAGTTAAATTAATCATCCTGTGCATAAATGCTGAATTAGGAAGAATCTTTTGTGAAATTGAATAGGTACCTGCACATTCTCCTGGGAAATTAACTGAAGAAAACAATACTACCAGCATGGATGATCTAGCAATGCAAAAGAGCAAAGATGAAGAAACATTACAGTCTGTTGAAAATGGTGAAGAACAATATCTTTTCTCTGTTAAACAGGTTAACATTGTGGAACCACATGAAGAGATTTTTAATGCAAAACATGCTGAAGATGTTGAAGGAAATTTTGAAAAGTCGGATGAAGTTAATAGTGACCCACTGAAGGTAAATGATGAAGATGTGAGCTCAGTTACCACTGAAGAGAGCAATTCTGGAAATTTACGTGAACAAAAAGGCATCTTAGTTGAAACAAAGCTAGCTGACGGTGAGGAAAATTTTGAAGCCATTGGAAATGTTCCAGGTGAATCCGATGTTTCAGAAGAACATGATGCTTCCATTTACCAATCAAAAGAGACATTTGAAGCTGATCAAATAGACTCTTCGGTTGCTGCTGTTGAAGAAAAGGTAACATTGTCAAATATGCTATACCAGGTAGCTTCGAAATTAAAACTTTTGTTTTTTTTTTTTTTCTGAATTTCTATAAATTTCATGTCCTTTTCTAACAAGTGTATATATATTCTTATAAATTGCATTTATCACAACAACAGTTATTGGTTTTGTTAAAAAGTCTCATTATTATTTGTCTCCTTTGTGATGTTAAGCAGGAACCTCCCTATCATCTTCTTCATGATTCTACAACAGTTGTTGTCAGCATGTCTGATGAGAATGAACCAGCATCAGAAAAGATGACTTATGAGGAGAACTTGACCCATCTCAGCACATCACAGAGTGCAAAAGAGGCAGTAGTAGAAGAAGCCATGCCAGAAACAATGTTGTTACCTGCACAAGGTAGTGAATCTGAACCAGAAGATACTGCAGATGGTGAAGTCAATGCCCATATATCAAGTTTAATTGGAGAAAATAATAGTCTAAATGGTGCAGAAAATACTCAAGAATCTGTACAGTCGATTGATCAGGAGAATATTACAGTGTCAACTGTACCAGATGACACAAAAGGTGAATCAAAGGAATTGAATGATGATGGCAGTGAGATGAGTACTCAAGAATCTGTAAGGTTAATTGATCAGGAGAATATTACAGTGCCAAAAATAGCAGATGACATAATAGGTGAACCAAAGGAATTGAATGATAACAGCAATTTGATGGATACTCAAGAATCTGTGCAGCCAACAGTACCAGATGACACAAAAGGTGAGTCAAAGGAATTGAATCATGATGGCATTGAGATGGGTACTCAAGGATCTGTACAGTTGATTGATCAGGAGGATATTACAATGCCAACAGTACCCGATTATACAAAAGGAGAATCAAAGGAATTGAATAATGATGGCATTGATATGGGTACAGAACTGATAGAACCAGTAGAATCTGAAGTTAAGGCACTAAACACAGAGGGGAAAGATGATCATACAGAAGCAAAATAAGGGTTTGCACTTCACAAGTTGTTAGGTGAATCAAAAAGTGATATATGCTCTCCTCCAATCAGGCTTTGAAAAACTAGTTTGGCTGTTTAGTTTCTGATTTTTTTTTTTTCCTTTTTTATTTCTAAGAAAATCAGAAATTTTTGTGTGGATATTTTTCAAAATTTACAAAAAGTTTTCTAACAAAAGTGTTTTCCTTTTTGATAACCCAAACACAATTTTTTTATTTGTCTTCTGAAAATAGAAATTTTTTTGTAATATATTTTCCAATTTCCTGCCCTAAACGGCCTTGAAATCTTTGAACTCATCAGTTCTGAGAGCACAGAGTATGGAGCTGCAAATACGCTAACCTGTGTACTTTAAGAAAAGTTAGTATGTAGTTTTATAGCATTGTGGATTGTACATTAGACAGTATAGCAAACCATGTCGGGCTCCTTCTTCCGAACAGATAAAATGGGAGAGAGGAGAAAAGTAGGAACACAGAATTTGGCTGATGTTGTCGGACTTACTTGTTGCTAACTTGCTATTTTATGGCAGCTTATAGCATGGCCGGTAGTATGAGAAGTTAGCATGTCTTTGTTGGTTTGAATCATTATGTATTTGTACATCAAACTTGTAGATAAGTGTATCATTGTACTGGTGTTCTATTACTCTCTTAACTTTTAAATAACAATGGTGAAAAACAGTTTTATTAAAATACTGATAGAAAAAGACCAAATTTGTGATTTATAGATTAATATGTTGCTCGTGTCCAAAGTCTACTTAGCTGAATGTGTGGATTGAATACATGTGTGGATTTATAGATTAATAGTTAAACAACTCTTGAAGACATGCTTATTTTTGTTTTATGGACGACTTGAATGATAGAATTTATGTGAGATTAACTGTTCGTTTCACCAGATTCAGGAGATATATAGTTTCCACAAAGTGAATTGAGTAACTTTCATTTTTTACTTGGCATATGAACATTAGTGTAATTATGTACTGAAGATTTTAGTAATACCCAATCTGGTTTCTGAAATAGCTATATGATGCTTTGTTCTAATTTTAATATATAACTCAACAGTTGAAAGATAATCACAATCAACCTGAGTTCTAAGACAAACTATCCATGTGATGAATTTTCTACAAGATTCTTCTCTTTCTCAACCAGTATGCAAGGTGATGGATGATTTTGTTACATGGTAGAAGAGAATATATAGAAAATTTCAGAAACTATTTATGTATTGAAAAATAATAATCAATTCTAGAAACTGTTTAGCTGGCCATTTCTGCTTCTCTACAACGAAAACAATATCTAAAAATTTTTTTGGATCACATAGAACTGACTTAAATTTACAATTTCTTATAGAGAAGATCGAAAGTTTCCGCAACCTCTAGTATATAAATTGATTCTTATAAACTCATTTATCCTCGGTTGCAGCAGCTGGAACTTCCTTCATCTCTTCTTCCTGGCTACAATCTTCATCTCTAAACCACCTCTTCCAGTACCAATGTTTCTTCCACACTCTCTCCACCATTTCGTCAATTGGAACACCCTTTGTTTCAGGCAACATAAAGATCACGAAAACTCCCATCACCACAATCCATGCTGCGAAGAAGAAGAAGATCCCAGACCTCATGTGGCAGAGCATGGTGAGAAAGGCCTGAGCTATGATGAATGTGCAAAACATGTTCATGCTCACCGCGAAGAAATAGCCTGCGTTTCTAATCTCCAACGGGAAGATTTCACTCGCAATCAACCATCCCAATGGTCCCCATGACCACGCAAATCCAGACACGAAAACACACACCAACACCACCACCAGCACTGCAAATCCATGGGGAATAGCATTGGTGGATTTCAACATTGCTGCTAGAATTGCCCCCATTATACACTGCACAAATTTAAACCACAAACATATATGTTATCATTCATTGTATAACAGATAAAAAATTATATGATATTTTTCATAAATATTGAGAAAATAAGTATTTACATGCACACAATCTTATCAAGTACAGAGTAAAATAAAAAAATATAAGATTTAACATGGTTCATTAAAAATGCCGATGTTTATAGGCAAAACCAATTGAATTGTAAATTATTATATAAATAAAGTATTAGAACTTTCATGAATATTTCTACAATATACCTTAAATATTTATCAAAATATTCACAGAATCAAGTCATATTCAAAATAAATTATATAAAGTAATTACCTGGGAAACAAGCATCTGAGCAGCTGCTTCAAGGAGTAGAACTTTTCTTCCAATTCTATCAACAGTAACAATTGCAACTACTGTTGATGCTGCATTAACCAACCCAGTCACAACTGCCGACAACAGTGATGCATCGCCTCCGAATCCCATTGTCTGGAACAGCACAGGAGCATAGAACATGATCACATTAATGCCGGTGAACTGCTGAAAAACCTGCAGAATTGTTCCGCAAATCAATGGAGGAAGATTCCGACGCTTTGTTGTTAACTCTTTATAAGGATGTTTCACTTTCTTGGCTACTTCAGTTGCGTATAAAATCGCTTGAAACTCTTCTTCAACATCTTCTACACCTCTGATCTTCTTCAGAGTTCTCACGCCGTCTTCTTTCTTTCCTCTCTCGATCAGACTCGTCGGAGTTTCCACGATGATCAGAGAGCCGAAGAGGAGAATCGCCGCCGGGATACCTGCACAGCCTAAGGATACTCTCCACCCATTTGGGTGAATTTTTGATGTGAAATAGTTTATAATGTTGGCTAATAAAATTCCCACTGTTATCAGTAACTGAAAACAGATGTTAAGTCCTCCTCTGTATTTTGCCGGTGCAATCTCCGATATGAACAATGGTACTGCCTGCATTTTTTTTTAAAGTTCGAATTTTTATTACAGTTTCAAACATAAATATATTGTTTAGAAATTATAAAGTTAAAGTTTAGTTACCTGGTTACCGAACCCAACGCCGGCGCCGAGAAAAAGACGGCCGATGATCAAGATGGCGAGGTTTTTGGCGGCGGCATTGAGTATTGCGCCGAGGACGAAGAAGACGGAGGCGACTTGAATGGTGGGTCTTCGGCCGAATCTTTTGCAGACAAAAGAAGCTCCGAAGCTAGCGACAATGGCGGCGAGATAGAGGGAAGATGTGAAAAGCTGCAAATACTCGTTATCGTATTTGCAGTAATTGTTTTCTTTAGCTGCGTGCTTTTTCACATATACACTGGGAAAGAACTTGATCAAGAAATCATCCATGGATGTCACTCCTCCTGTAAC